TCTCTAATGGAGTTATGTAAGGTTCTAACAAGATTTCATATGAAAGTTCATACGAAAAGCTATTGGTGTATGGCCAGCTTTAGCCTGGATTGGCCCTTTAACAACGAGAAGCAGAGGCACTGCGATTATCCCTTTCAACGACCCCCCCCTCCCTCCATTCAGGATGAATACAGATCAACTTTGAAGTTCCCTAGAGCCAGAGTGGAAGTCTGACTGCTAGGTGAACTCACCCCTCCTTCCCTGGTCCTGCAAGGCAAGTGTAATCCAGAGAGCAGACATGAGAAAGAGCAGAGAGGAGGGGAGGTCTGGGGGCCTCCAACTATGTAAACCTGGCAGAAAATGGTTTATATGAATATCAGCTGTTCTGGGCCGAGGGCCAAAAGTCGATTAAGGCCATCTGAAAGGAACTTGTCAGGATAGCCTGCGTGTTTCACAGTGTTGAGACTATGGCTAAGAATTACATGAGGGCCACGTGGTGCAAGCCGCTGACATCAAGGGCTGCTCGTGCCCCATCTTGGTAGCAGACCAGCTAGGGGCTTGCTCCTCCAACTGAAACAAATGTCTGAAACAAGTGGAAAACTTTGTTAAAAGTTTTCCACTTTTAACTCTCTACTATGTCCGCCACCACCTAATAACTCGCTGACTGCCCAGGACATTGCCACTCATTTCAAAAACAAAATAGATTCAATTCGGGATCAGATCGCCACAGTGCAGCCACCTTCCCCTATTCATGTTCCAGACCCACCACCACACTTGTCACTCTCCTCTTTTGACCCAGTCACCACAGAGGAGGTTACAAGGTTACAAAGCTTCTCTCTGACACCCACTTCACCACTTACCCCCTGGACCCTGTTCCCTCACCACTACTTCGGTCACCTTCATACTCTATCCTACACTCTCTTACCCACATTTTCAATCTCTCCCTCTCTACTGGAATCTTTCCCTCCCCTCTAAAGCATGCCCTGGTCACCCCAATACCAATCACTCCTGCCTTGCGATTGTTATACAGCATGAATTTCTTTAATTTCTTCATCGCAGGAATATACGTCAGTATTCAAAATGAACCACAATTATTTACCAACCCTTTTACTTCCACAGAGGTGGAAGCCATTTTGCATGTCAAACTAATGCTATGAACTAGTGTTAATACAAAGCAAAGGATAGCCATGTGCAAAGGAGAACCTTAGCAAGGGTTTAATCATAATTACAGAAGAACGTGCAAGGGCTATGGGGCTCAGATTTGCAAGGCTACACTGTGCTTCATGCAAGTTACTATAGTATAAAACTGATTTACAATATACAGTGGTACCAACAATTCGGTTCGCGGACAGGAAGTTCGGCAAAATTTTGCTTCCGTTCGCGAACTCCGCATCGGGTGACGAACACAACCGCAGCCATCTTCCCCGCTCTGACACATGGTCGTGGCTTCCTCTAGTCGAGATCACAGTCTGATCACAGTTTGATTTGGTTCACGACCAATTCGGTTCGCGACCAGAATCGTGGAACGAATTAAGTTCGTGAACCGAGGTAAAACCGGATATAGTTTGGAAACCTGTATAATACATCTATGAAAGTGATTGGTATTCTGTATCACTATAGGAGATACCTATAAGATGGAGATCAAAGATAATTGGGACCTCTTAAAGCTTTTGCTTTTGGACACAATTGCACATACTGTAGTCACAGTGCTGGACCATAGCTTATCTTCCAGTTGCACTGGTTCTAAGCCCAAAAAGTGGTGGAGTTAGCAAATCAATCAGAACTAGCATGCCATGGGAAAGTTTGGTTGTATTTTGAATAGAAAGAAGAACATTGGGTGCTTTTCTACTCCATACCATTACTACGTATTCCGTTGGAGCTGCCTACTTGTGCCACTTTCAAATATTTGGAACTTCTCCAATAGCCTTAACCTTTAACCTGTACTTTGGATTTTGTAGAAGTGGATTCAAGTGGACTTGGTTTTTATTTGGCTATATTTTGGCCTGACAGGGGTTGGTGCATTGAGTTTTGCTCATCAAAAAAAACATGAAATGAAAAAACATAGAACCATAGGATTGCCAACCCTCTGATGCACCCCGTGGTGGAAGTTTCTACAGAAACAAGCAATGCTTACTATAGTAAGGGCACGTTTGGGTGCCAAATGGTCAAAATAAGGCATTCAAGTATTTTCCATTTTATTTTACAGAATGATACAGCCGAACAAACAGATGTGACTGTAACTTTAAGTAGGATGGGGCTGACTTCAGATGAGCCTGCTCTCTGTTTGTGCATTGCTATATACAGTATGTTCCATAGTTTGGAAACTCAGATAGTTTATAGCTCCCTTTCTCAACCCTTTTCTTTTAACATGGAGGAATCTTTAAAAATAACTATCAATTCTCAGGGAACACCTGCTAATCATTTCTATATACATAGCTCACAAGATATTAGTGTGATGAGTAAGTCGAAGAGATAAAAATAAATAAAATAATAAGGAATGTTACATATTTGACACTCAGTCCTGCTCTATACAACCATATTATTTTTAGTAATAATAATGAAGTAAAACAAAACATATTAATATGCAGAAAAGAAACACAGACAGTGAAATTTGTAGTGCTCCCTCACATTGGTGATCAGTGGAAAAATGATCCCTTACACTGACTACCATGGGAAAGTGCCCCTTTAATTGGTTATCTGTGAGGGGATCTTTAATGAAAGGGTCAGTGAATGGCCCTAGTACACTGATGGTCAAGGTCAATGAGAAGACCTCTCCTTACATTGGTGGTCAGTGGGAAGAACTCTTCTTACATTGGTGGTCAGTGAAGGGTCCTAGTACACTGGTGGCAATGAGAAGACCTCTCCTTACATTGGAGATCATTGGGAAGAACTCTCCTTACATTGATGGTCATTGGGAAGAACTCTCTTTACATTGGTGGTCAGTGAAGGGTCCTAGTACACTGGTGGTAAATGAGTAGAACTCTCCTTACATTGGTGGTCAGTGAATGGCCCTAGTACACTGATGGCCAAGGTCAATGAGAAGACCTCTCCTTACATTGGAGATCATTGGGAAGAACTCTCCTTACATTGATGGTCATTGGGAAGAACTCTCTTTACATTGATGGTCAGTGAAGGGCCATAGTACACCAGTGGTCAATGAGAATAACTCTCCTTACATTGGTGGTCATTGGGAAGTACTCACTTTACATTGGTGGTCAGTGAAGGGTCCTAGTACACTGGTGGCAATGAGAAGACCTCTCCTTACATTGGAGATCATTGGGAAGAACTCTCCTTACATTGATGGTCATTGGGAAGAACTCTCTTTACATTGGTGGTCAGTGAAGGGTCCTAGTACACTGGTGGTAAATGAGTAGAACTCTCCTTACATTGGTGGTCAGTAAATGGCCCTAGTACACTGATGGCCAAGGTCAATGAGAAGACCTCTCCTTACATTGGAGATCATTGGGAAGAACTCTCCTTACATTGATGGTCATTGGGAAGAACTCTCTTTACATTGATGGTCAGTGAAGGGCCATAGTACACCAGTGGTCAATGAGAATAACTCTCCTTACATTGGTGGTCAGTGGAATAATGCTTCCCTTACAGACTCCTGAAAAGACCAGCGATGTCCATGGTTGCTTATCTGAGAGGCAGACATTGTTTATTGCTCGAGGAAGCCCAAACAACCCCTGGAGGAACCCTAGGGTTTCACAAAACCCTGGTTGAGACACACTGCTTGAGAGTTAGGGACTACTCTTATGAAAGGTGCATTGACACGGCAGTTAAACAGTTCGAAGGTGTGCTGAGGACCCTTTTGTACCATTATAAATTCTCAGGAGTATATAATTAAAGCAACAGTTGATTGATCGCCAAAAATTTGGTACTAAAGGTCTGTTGAACGATTCACAGTACTCTTATTCACGGTGTCCCAGTAAAATCACATTCCCTTCGATTCACCCAACATCTGGATTTTCCATTTATTAGTAATAACACTTGATGTATTACTAATATGGACAATGTTAGATCCACAAGCACCCCTTACATCACCGATATTGACAATATCTACCCTCTTCAACCACCCCTTGGACATTTTATAACTGCACCGGAAAAGTGAATGTGGCTGAATCGAGACCCGTGAATGTGCTTCCGCCTGCATTTTATACATATGACCCTTATGAAAGAAATCAGGTCTGCTCTCTATAGCATGACATAGAGAAGACCTCTCCTTACATTGGAGATCATTGGGAAGAACTCTCCTTACATTGATGGTCATTGGGAAGAACTCTCTTTACATTGATGGTCAGTGAAGGGCCATAGTACACCAGTGGTCAATGAGAATAACTCTCCTTACATTGGTGGTCAGTGGAATAATGCTTCCCTTACAGACTCCTGAAAAGACCAGCGATGTCCATGGTTGCTTATCTGAGAGGCAGACATTGTTTATTGCTCGAGGAAGCCCAAACAACCCCTGGAGGAACCCTAGGGTTTCACAAAACCCTGGTTGAGACACACTGCTTGAGAGTTAGGGACTACTCTTATGAAAGGTGCATTGACACGGCAGTTAAACAGTTCGAAGGTGTGCTGAGGACCCTTTTGTACCATTATAAATTCTCAGGAGTATATAATTAAAGCAACAGTTGATTGATCGCCAAAAATTTGGTACTAAAGGTCTGTTGAACGATTCACAGTACTCTTATTCACGGTGTCCCAGTAAAATCACATTCCCTTCGATTCACCCAACATCTGGATTTTCCATTTATTAGTAATAACACTTGATGTATTACTAATATGGACAATGTTAGATCCACAAGCACCCCTTACATCACCGATATTGACAATATCTACCCTCTTCAACCACCCCTTGGACATTTTATAACTGCACCGGAAAAGTGAATGTGGCTGAATCGAGACCCGTGAATGTGCTTCCGCCTGCATTTTATACATATGACCCTTATGAAAGAAATCAGGTCTGCTCTCTATAGCATGACATCTGTTTAAAGTGCAGTCACGTATTGTCTTACCCAGGCCTCTTTAACTCTGCGTTCTTCTCTGTCCAGCGAGTATCTGATCTATGTCCTGGCAGGCGCTTCCTTTTATTTCCGTCTGGGAAGAGAACAATAATAACAATGAACAATATGACATGCAGGGGAGTCCAGGTCAACAGACTTTCATTACTGCTGCAATGCGATATCACGGCTTATTTCTGTGCGCTTTACACTGAGAAACGTGCTGCCATCTGTGGATATTGGCACACTGCAAGCATTCCTGGAAGGGCTTGTGTCAATGCTAGGCTGATACACAAATCTCGTCTCCCTTACAAGGCAGGTTCCCATGTCTAGGGATGGACAAAGCTTTTAAAGTGAACCTGTAGACAGGCTAAGGACATTAAGGCATTACAAAATTTTAACAAGCAGTAAATGAGATTTAACACAATTAATGACCTATGTAGCTGCTGGTATTGTGGAGCAAATCATTTTCAAAGTTCACAACAGAAGCACTAAAGACAATTGAGTATCTCTCTAAGCAGCTCAGCTCACCCTGCTCCCACCTCTCAATTAAACTCATAGTGTAACAATGGTCAGGCTGTGGGCACTTAAATATTTGCATAGTCTTAACAATCAAAATATGAGATTTAAGACCTATATTGTTTAGGTTTTTCTCTCAGCTGCTCAGCTCTCCCCAGCATTGGCTCACCAGCTCAGGTCTCTCTGCTCCACACTCTCAGCAGTGACTCAACAGCCTTTAACCTTCTAATCTCTAATGTGAACACAAAGCAGGAGCCTTAGGAGAGTGGTGCAAGGTTAGCTGACCTGCAGAGAAGGTTGAACAACTCTAATGCTTCTGCTTTCAGGACAGGAATGGATGTAGGATCACTCCAGCCACTACACAAACAAAAACAAATTTAAAGTAGCGAGGGGACGGGTTAAACACTGGAACAATGGAAATTTAAACTCTTTCCAACACTATCCAAAATGAATAACTGTCTGGAGTTTGGCTTTGAGCTAAGCAATAGACCAGGGGTAGGCAACTGGCTTTAAGCTAAGCAATAGACCAGGGGTAGGCAAATGGCTTTAAGCTAAGCAACAGACCAGGGGTAGGCAGCCGGCTTAAAGCTAAGCAATAGACCAGGGGTAGGCAACCGGCTTTAAGCTAAGCAGTAGACCAGGGGTAGGCAACCGGTTTTGAGCTAAGCAATAGACCAGGGGTAGGCAACCGGCTTTAAGCTAAGCAGTAGACCAGGGGAAGGCAACTGGCTTAAAGCTAAGCTGTAGATCAGGGGTAGGCAACTGGCTTTAAGCTAAGCAATAGACCAGGGGTAGACAACCAGCTTTAAGCTAAGCAGTAGACCAGGGGTAGGAAACTGGCTTTAAGCTAAGCAATAGACAAGGATTATGCAACCTCAGCACTTCAGCTCTGTTGAAACCACAAATCCCATCATGTCTCTGCCTCTGGGAGTCATCTGTCAGAGTCTTGCAATGCCTTACGGGACTTGTAGTTCCAAAAAAGCTGGAGGGCCAAGGTTGCCTATCCCTGCAATAGACCATAAACATTTCAGTCATGTAGTTTCCTTGGCAAGAACTGAACATGTAACACCAGCTCTGCAAGGCAAAAGTGCTTTATTAAGCCAACGTGTTGCACGTTCAAAGGCTCTTTCTTTTGAAGACAAATAAAGAGCGTGGAATTAAATAATTCAATTTATTTATTAAGAAGAGACAAAACATGGAAAGCCAACCCCTACCAGATGGGTCGTCTCTTTTATTCAGTGATTCCGCTAAGTGGGACACGGTCACCAGTATGAAAAAAGGTCATAAATCTTAATGAGGATAATAAGACTATCCCCCGCTGTCACTGCTGCCCAAGACATTGCTTGGGGTTTATATTTCTTCAGGGACACAGATCCTGCCATAATAAGATGGGTACTGGAGGACATAGTTCTCTATTCATTAATATTATGTAACAGTGTGAATAACCGGTCTCACTGCCGGCACCGACTCTAGAGGACCCCCCCACTGGGAATAGCTATTTGTCTCTGTAGTAAATTGCTGCTGTTTAAACATGGTGATTTCAGGGAACAGCGGGGGGTGTTAATAGAGTCAGGAGGCTGATAGATTGAGTTCACCCTATGCAAATCTCAGCAGCGTTGCCTAAAGCATCGTCTCTCGCCTCGACAAAATAATGTATTCCTTCATAACAGCCAATGTTTACCAAAAACTCCCCGGCAATGGTGTGACTGAGCAGTTGGTGCCCGGGGGGGAAAAATGATAGGAGCCACAACTGGCAAAGACTTTCCACATTAGGTGATGCTTCAGTTTATCAGAGATACTTACAAACTGAACCACTCATCAGCTTCTCTAGAGAACTCCAGTGGTGGAACTCCACCAGGATGCCCAGTGCTGGCCAAGAGCTGCAGCCATCACAATGCCAAATGGTGGTGTCACGGTTCTGTAACTGATTCCCCTAATGGATAGCAAACCAACAGCTGAGGAGTGCAGAGAATGAGACCTTTGTAATGGGTTTGTGCGAGAAGAATTACTTGGGGGAAATCTTACCAATGGGGATCACTGATAGCTATAGGTAGTTGAGAGTGTCAACAAATTATTATTATAATACAGGATTTATATAGCACCAACAGTCTGCGCTGCGCTTTACAACAGATGGAGAGACAGTACAATTAAAATACAGTACCATACAAAAAGAATAGAAGGACCCTGCTTGTGAGAGTTTACAGTCTACAAGGAGGGTGGATCAGCTTCTTTTGACCCATTTTGACATAAATATACTTAAAGCAGATTTATCTTTACAGTTAGAGTAGACCTATCTATGTCTTCACAGGTCTACATGAATACATTCCTGACATGCAACCATATACTGTATTTAAAGTACAGTAACTTTTTATCATTATAATGCAATTTTCGAGCCTTAGCCAATTGTCTATGCTTTGGCAGTCAAGGTTACAGTGCATATATATATATATATATAGGGCCCTCCTTATCATTTTGTCTTCTATCTGTAATGTCCTCCTTATATTCTAAAGCTAGCCATACATCTATAGATTATCTGTAGATTTTCTATGGTCAGATGCAAAAGGGGAACAGATTCCTCCATCTACGCTAAACTGTGGGTATGGAGGAATCTCCCACTGGGCCAAGCTTCAGTATCTTGCTAGTCGGCCCAGGCTGGATACAGTGGTGTATTTACAAATGCTGCTGCCCTAGGCAAGACAGCAACGCCGCCCCCCCGCCCCCCCCCGTACTGACGGCCGACCGTCACCATCAGCACCCAGCTGGATATCAAAATTGTTGAACAATCTGATTGGATGCAGGCATTGTTCAGATATTTTGAGAGTCGGCGGTTAAAATACCCTGTACTGGCAGTACCTTGGAGAGTCGGACCTCTGCTCTCGCATACAAGTATTAGCCCGGGTCTTCATGAGTCCAACACAGTCCCCCTGCCTAGTGCTCCAATCATTGCTGCTAAAAAAAGTCATCCCTCCTTCCTATATCATAAGATTGTAAAAGTATGGAACCAATCTTTCATCGTTGCAGAGCAAACGTAGCTTTGTGGTGAGATGGCCCCATCACCACATGTTTATCCGAACCATTAAAGGAATAAACAATTGTGCCAAGATTAAGATCTGCTCAATGACCTTGAACTAGAAAACTTGGCCTTATCCTGGCCTCCCATGTCCTTAAATGTAAGATTTAAGGTGTTGACACTAGCTTATAAATAATTCCTCCACATCTCCTCACTTTCAGCTATATTACCGGCATCAACCATAAATACTTTCACTCCTCCAGTAACCTCATAATGTCCTTGTCCTCTCAGACCTCCATCCCACGCAAGACTTTTCATGCATGGTTTCCTTTTCCTGTAGACTAGCCTTTCTCACCGTTTTCCACCCAAAAGAACCCTTGGAATCTTTTTTAGGTTTCTGGGAACCTCTGTTAAAAAGGTGTACACTGTAGATATAGTCACAAGATTGCAAATTGGAGACATAATCATGGAACCAATGCTCTGCAACAAAACAATTATTGATAATGGCCAAAAAACAAGCAGGCAATGACAATTGTAATGTCTTCCTACAATGGTGGCCATTGGAAAAGTACACTGTACATCAGGGGTGCCCACAAGGTCGATCGCGATCTACCAGTCGATCGCGTAGCGATCACTGGTAGATCGCCATGTCCTCTCCTCCCGCCGCTTCTCTGGATCCCCGCTGCTCTCCCCAGCGGGGATCTGAGAAGAAGTGCAGGAACTGGCGGCGGGGGAGGGCGGAGGACGGAGCCGCTGTCACTAACTAATGCAGAGCAGTGAGGAGAGAGAGAGAGAGAGACGCTCGGCCAGGATCTGACAGCCGGCACCTCTCTCTCCCCTCATTGCTCGTCCGTTCTGTCACAGCGGCTCCGACCCCGACCCGCCCCCCGCGGCTCGTCGTATCCCCCGCTGCCTATGCCTGGGAGAGCAGGGGGATCCAGAGAAGTTGCAGCCCCCCTGTGCGTGGCCGAGCGGCAGACTTTCCCTTCATTTAGAATAGAGGCTGCAGAAAAAAAGATTGAGGACTATGTGTCCTCAATTTCTTTTTCTATTTTAAAAGGGAAATATCAGGGGGCTTTTTAGACCCCTGATATCTCCCCGAAGCCCCCCCAAGAGTAAAAAAAAAAATTAAATAATGAAAATAAAATAAAAAATAGTAAAACATAAATTAAAAAAACATTTTTTTTCCCTTGCCTCAGGCGCAAAAGGAGCTGGCTACGGCTATGCTCCCGTGGTGCTCGTGCGGCTGCCAGCTGAATGTGTCAGATGCTGCAGATGGAAAGGTGCAGGACACCCCATGTGCAACGTCGGCCACACGAGCACCACGGGAGGACAGGACGCCGGGACCTGGAATGTACTGGAATGCACTGGAATGTAAGCAGGCCGACTCCCTGCGTTCCGGTGCGGGAGGGGGTGTGGAGCTGTATTGAAGTCAATGGGATCTCCCACAGTGCGATCGCCCGCACTCGGAACGCAGGCACATTAGTGCCTGCATTCCGGTCCAGTGCGATCTGCAAAAATAGTGCTCGCAGCATTTTTGCGGATCGCACTGGACTGGAACACAGGCACTAATGCAGGCGATCGCACTGTGGGCGAGGGGCCTGCCTGCGCAGCCTACGCCCCCTCCCGCCCCTGAATGCAGGTGTTTTTTCGTTGGTAGATCTCAATGAGCTCGTCATTTGAAAAGTAGATCTCCAGACGAAAAATAGTGGGCGCCCCTGCTCTACATCAATGGTCAGTAGAGAAGGGCCTCCGTTACATTGGTGGTCAACAGCGAAGGGCCTCCTATGGTCAGTGGTACAAGGGGCCTCACATTGGTGGACAGTTGAAAGAGAAATGTCCTTTACATTAATGGTTACATTATAGTGTTTAGTCAAGGAACATCCAACAACCTTTGAAGGAAGCCTAGTTGTGAAAGGCTGCTGTAAACCCCTTAAAACAGATTTTCTCAACCAGGGATCAGCCAGAGGTTGCTAGGGGTTCCTTAAACATTGCGTTTTAGTGAATCGATCTCCCACCTATATTGACCAGCAAATGAGGGTGGTCAGTCTTCCACTGAAATCTCATTTATAGGGTCACTTGTATACTGGCATTCATTGTTAGGGGCAAGACATTCACCTCCATTGTAAGAGGGTTCTTAACTACTGACCTCCAATGTAGAGGGCACTACACTTGCCACCAATAAAAGGGGGGTAGTATATTGACCTCTAATGTAAGGTGGCACTTTTCCACTAGTTACCAGTGTAAGGGGGTACTTCACAGCTAACCTCCAATGTAAGGGCCACTTGTCTAATGATCACCAATGTAAGTGGGCCCTTCTCCTTTGACTTGTAAGGGACTGATCATTAGTTGCTTGTCATAGTAATGTACCATGACCTGTCAATATAAGAATCTTTAGCAAGGATTTCTCTTTGATAAAGAGGTGGAGATAGGCTGCTGCATAAGGATCTAAGCGTCTTATTTTTGTTGGAAATGCAACAGCATATACTGATGGTATTACTGACTGTAATTTGTTTTTTTGAACTGTAGATGGCGCTGTAGTGCAATCTTAGTCTCTTTGTGCATGCTTATCTATGATACACCAGAAGTTTTTTTTCTTCTTCTCTATTTTTCTTCACAATGCTGTATGTGTACATGTAATGTTCTTCTAACCAAGTAAAACTTAAAGAAGAACTATGAGGTGAGTTAAATTCATAGTTCGGGCCGACATGTGACAATTAAACTGTCACACGTCGGCTCAATAGATCGGGTAGTGAGCGAACACATACCGTCTTTCGCTCACTTCTCGATCATCTCCCTGCAGTGAGCGGTGACTGTCACTCACAGCTCCCCGCAGGGATTCCCCCCTCCCCGCTCTGATCCTCCACCGCTGACTGGAGGAACGGACAGGGGAGGGGGCAGGTACAGCTGGCTCTGCCTCTAGATAGGCAGAACCCACTGTCACTCACGCAGCTGGGTGGATCTCGACAGTAACGTCGGGATCCGTCCCGGCTGCCTCAGTATACCGTGACCTGTAGCTCACGATATACTGAGCTTTGGGTCGCGGGAGGAGGTTAGTATATGTCCTCCCGTGACCCTTAAGAGAACTATGGGGAAAAACACTTACCCCATAGTTCTCTTTTAATTCCTCAAGATCTCAGTGCTTCATCTAAACACATTACCAACAATTTTTGCACTGGAAGATCTTGATCCCCAAGACTTTTCCTCCTGATAACAAAACCTGATTTGTATAGGTGGTCAGGGAAGGAGCAGATGATAACATAAGTTGAGGGATTGTATGAGAGCTCAAAAGA